AGGGTTGAGCGGTCACACACTAGGTTAACCCCACCACATTCTGTGTATGACTGTCCTACGTCAGTATCCTGTGTAATTCATTGGTGGTCGTTGGTTGCTGTCTGTAATAATTGTTTTACATTAATTGTTTGGTCAAAAACAGGTTGTAGATTTTCTCGTTTGAATGCCATCATCCCACATCTCATTGTTTTAATCAGGTCAGTAATTTTGAGTATTCGATAATGACCGGAATTACAATACCCACAAAGCATAGCACTCGAAACATGTATTAGGTCCCATATCACTTCAATATTCAACGTTTAAGACTGATATTATGGTCATATTTATTAAATGTTCCGAAATCATCTGGACAGTAAAAACAGCAAAAAGTAAACTAAAAAAAGTAAATATCAAACATTGTTCTATCAAACGTTAGTGGGCATTGAAGTGTAAAGATTGGTTTCATTTTGCATCGAGGAATGCACTTGGTATTATGCAATGGAACAAATTTAATCATTATTATGAATTAGAGTTGCGCTAATTTGTTACTTTTGTGGTATTTAATATTTAAAAAAAAACAGTTTTCTTGGTCAGGTATGGTTCATTTTGTATCTTGAATATCTGTGTATGAATTTTTAATAAATTGCTTAACAGATGCATTGATAGGATCTACTAATTATATTGTGCATAAAAGAAGAAAATAACTGAATTGAAAAGGTTTTGGCCTTTTTAATATTGGGCAAAGTTATTATAACTGCAGACTGAAAATCAATGAGTAGAATAATCTATCTAAAACCTATATTATACTATTGAATTCAAAATCTTTAATTTAATGTATTCTGTCTTGTACATATCAATAGTAACTTTTTCGGTTAAATCCGCACAAGGATAAGAATTCCGCTGATAGGTGACCAGAAGAAACCTCTTTTTGTAAGGATTTTTGTGTGCTTAGTGCCGATCTAATGAGTCAAGCCTTTTCCAACTGATTTTTATAGGTTGTTCTATGTTGTTCATTCGAATTCTTTTCTTGTGCATTTACTTCATACAAACTTTTATAACCCCGCAAGATTCTGTATGTGCCTGTTCCAAGTCAGGATCCTATTATTTAGTGGTTGTCGTTGGTTACAAACTGCTTAATTTGAATTTCGTTTTTTCCTTTTTTAGCATAAATCTGTTCGGTAGTTTTCTCATTTGAATGATTTCACACTTGTCATGCCGGGGCACTATACGGTATTGCTTTTGCTCATTGTTGTAGGCAATTCAGTGCCCTATAGTTGTGAAATCTAGCTCTTATCACCGGGTTTGTACCATCATGAGCAACAATATGGGTGTCGCATTGGAGCAGGATCGGCTTACCCTTTCGGAGCACCCGAGATCACCCCCAGTTTTTTGTGGGGTTCGTGGCCCTGTCTTTGGTTTTCTATGTTGAGTTGAAAATAAGCTGACAATGCCATGGCAAAAAACGAAAAAGACAAACAGACAAACAACAGTAAACAAAACTCATGAGTTTGAATGTCACTTTGGTATCCCTCTCCTCTCTTCTTCTTCTATGTCCCTTTGTCTCTGGTGAACAGTTGTCTCATTGACAATCTTACCATATCTCTTTATTTTCTAAATTCAATTAACATGCATGTCAAAAGACTAGAAAGCTATGTGACCCTCCGTAATAGTCATTATCTACATAACTGTATAATTGCTATATGTGTAACATTCCCGTACTTTTATATAACTTTCTGTATGCATAAAGATATTTACATATGTAAAATATTGCCTTTACATATTGTATATGTTATTGTAGTGGGAATTTTACATATTCGACTGCACTCAGTCATATATGTACATGCATTTTAACTGTTATCACAATTTACAATTAACATAATTATTAATGGTTTAGCCAATACCCGTATAAACATGTTCATCATTCAGTAGATTACATTTCCTTGTAATTTCCAGGGAATGTATATGTTCCATTTCATGTAATCACGTAGAATCAAACATTAGAGATTGTGAAATGTAAATATCTGTATATAAGTCAATGGCAATAGACATATCCACATAACAAACTTTACCATAAATGGTTCTTATTTGTTTTCATATGAACTTTTTACCAGAATGAAACAAGAGAAAGGAATTTACTGAATAATGTATATGTTCATTTGAATATAGGGATACCTATCAATGTTCAATGCATTGTAAATTTTCATGACACACGTGATACAATGTCAAATAAAAGATAAGTAAAAGTGGGCATTTTACAGATTCGACTGCGCTCTGGTATACATGCATTTTAATTGTTGTCACAATTTTCAATAAACATAATTATTAATGGTTTAGCCTATACCCGTATGGACATTTACATCATTCCTTGTAATTTCAAGGCAATATCTATTATTCCTATATATGTTCCATTTCATGTGATTATGTAGGATCGAACAATAAAGTGTGTGAAAAATACTGTATTCAAAGACGATGAAACATATTGACATAAACTTTACCATATAAAGTTTCTTATCTTTATTTACATGAAGTAGTACAAATAAACTAATTAGCAGAAAAACACAAGGGAATGTAATCTATTGAATGATGTATGTGTCAATTTTAGTATATTGATAACTACCAAAATGGAATGCATTGTAAATTGTAAATTGTAAATTGTAAATTGTAAAAAAACAGTTGCAAAGTCAAATAAAATATTACGAAGTTGAAGAGCATTAATAACCGAATATTCCGGAAAAAATGTTGTGCAAATACAACTAAGGCAATCTATACCTGAGGGTAGAAAAATCTTCGCGTGGGTAAAAGTGGGCACATAAAACTGGCTTAAACCCCACAATATTAATGTACCTGTACCAATTCAAGTTTTGTGGACTCATCCCCTCCCAAGACCATGTGGTGTTGTTTGTGCTTCCATTTTCTCGGAGTAGTCGGTTGATGTTGGTTGTTATGGTCTCTTGTACTGTCTATTATTTTTGATAATACCTTTTTATATCCTTTTAAAAAGTTATTGAAAGAAACGTCTCGAAATTTATAGCAGTAACGTTAAACGACCGAATTTTCATATGTCACCAAAGATCAACATTGCTGCCTTAATGTGCATGATGTATACATTTATTATATAAATAAAAAGAGATATGGTCATACGTCAATAAGATATCATCTCATCAGACATATAGGGTTTGTAAACTGTGTAGTTTTGCACAAGTCATAAATGTGAGGGTCACTCCTCCTGGTTAGTCTTTAATTCAAGACTTAATCTCTGTATTGTTGACCTGTGCTCTAATATATAATGTAACTGATCACAGTCATGTATTTATATATTCTCTGTAATTATGCAATTTGAAGTTAATGAGACATAAAGTTCATTCACTCTTAGAGTTCAATAAATGGTCTTTTTATCAGTTGTTATTGACTTTGAACTAGCTGCCAGTAACTGCGAGTACTCTAAGAACTAGCATGACTTAGTGTCTTTTTTTGTTGTTAGGGATGTATAAGTACCATGCCACGTCCGGTCTGTGTTTTGTTAGATGTATTTCTGTTTCGTATCTACCTAATGAGTTAAGCGCTTTTAAACTGATTTTTATAATTTGTTCTTATGTTGTACTGTTACACCACTGTCCCTGGTTAAGGGGAAGGTTTGCGCCTTGAAACTTGTTAAACCCCGCTGTATGTGCCTGTCCTAAGTTAGGAGACTGTAATTCAGTGGTTGTCGTTTGTTGCTGTATAGCATATTTGTTTTTCGTTCATTATTTTGTTCATAAATCAGGTCGTTATTTTTTTTCTCGATTAAATTGTTTTACATATTTCATTTTATGGCCTTTTATAGCTGACTATACGGTATGGGTTTTGCTTATTGTTGAAGGCCGTACGTTGACCTATAGTTGTTAATTTCTATGTCAGTTGGTCACCTGTTGAGAGGTGTCTCATTGGCAATCATACCACATCTTCTTATTTTTATATTAAAAAATAAACGGTTTCTTTGCAATATTATAAACAATAATAATAAAGTGATATGATGTTATCTACCATCATCACAAAACCCCAATAAAGATAAAATCACATTACAGTAAGATATGAAAAAATACAACCGTGGTAATATTTATTTTAGTTTGGTATTATTAGTCAAATTCCAGGAAAACTGTTTATGTTTGGGTTGAAAATTAAGTTCGTACACATACATGTTCATACGGATCATTCTATGATGTGCTTCTTATTTGCATTTAAGCTTTGTTTGAAAGCATAAGTGTTATCTTACTGTAAAATGAAAAATCAAAGACCGACCGATTATACTGAACTAAAATGAACACTAAGAGCGATAATTCTTATGGAATTTGGTTAAAATTATAAGATTGTGAAGAATAGAAATGTCATACTTATCCCGTTATCGTTTCTCTAATTGTAACACAGTGAAGCGACTTATAATAATAGAAAACAAATGATATGGGGTTATTCATCCATATAGTTGGTTTTTACTTATCATTAGCAACATGGCGGTGCCACTTGTGGAACAGGAACTTCTTACACTGAACCGGAGAACCTAAGTTAATGCTATTCTTTATGTGGGAGTTCGTGTTGCTCATTCTTAGTTGTCTATGTAATGTGCTGTTGGCGGATATATTTCTGTCGATCTTAAATTTATTTATTTTTGTTGTGGTGTTGTCTGTTTTCTTCGAACTTTGGTTTCTGGTTAATTTCCTCTTAATTATCTTTTTTATTATTTTCAACAGTTGTAGCTTTAACAAAGCATACAGATTAAGTGGATATAAGGAACAGGTATGGTATTGCTGCAGGGGCGGATCCAGCCAGTTCCAACCATATGTCCCCATTCAAAAGCATTGATCTTCAAAAAAGGGGGTTCAAACCCCAGGAACCCCCAACTCCCATCCCACCCTTGATCCGCCACTGTGCTGCGAAGTGTGAGCTTCATAGTTAACTACTAGTATTTAAAACCTTTTATATTGACCTCGTGACCTTTCTTTTCTGATTCGTGTTATTATAGAGAGTTTTCCTTAGAAAAGTGAAAATTGTGAAAATGACTTTTATTCTTATATTTATTCGTAATTTCGATTACAAACAAAACACAATTCATGAACAAACTGATAGACGTCAACCTAGTAGGATTTTAAAATTGCTTAAACTTTCAATTGTTTATGCAACAACAACAACAACAAAGTGGTAATTACAAAAATGTATTCGATATATAAATAAATGCATGCACTTTTATACAAAATGACTGAAAAAGTCGCGCGCACTCAAGGTAATAATTTAAATACCTTTCGACTTTTGCAAAAATACTAATTCGAAGCTTGCTTCTATCGATATTATTATAATGGCTATTCTATTCCTATTTTCACTTTCTACTTTATTTCTAGTCATTTTTTGTACACATTTTTTATGATCATAACTTCCTTATAACATGTAGTCTATAGTCTGCCTATTGATTTGAAGTATTGTAATTATCTTTATTTTCACATTCAATCCAATTTATTTGTCTTCCAGAAAAAGTATATGTTTTTTTTAAATTAAAGAAATAACAATTCACATTAAGATTGACTCAGTCTGTTGTACTTTTTCATTGATTTAAAATGACGAAACTTCGTTATATTTTACCATTTTATCCGTCATTAAAAAGCAGTACTTGTTATAAGTTTTCAATTCTGTCATTTTATCGAATATCCGTTTAGTTTTAGACCAAAGTGATATTTTTAACCTCACATTTAAAATATTTAATAGATAATTTTTCAATGTTGATTATCATTTTGACTTTAGAATGAGAATGTTAAAGGATACAAATTAACAGTTCAGCAAAAGGGGGGAAAGTCTTAAAAATGAATGAAATGTCAAATCTCTACGCCTTCTAGTAGTTTTATCAAACGATTTCGAACCAATGAAAAGATCCAACATGGAACACATCAGTGGCGGAACGATTCAAACAATCCTTGAAGTTATATGGCTTTAAGCCGGTACAATCCACATACTTTTTACATATTTATCTGTAAAATTAATCGTAATCTCCATCATCGTCGTAACCGTAGTATGATGGTATACAGCATGTTGACAGTCCATATGACCAACGATGTCCACAACGTCCCCTATATTCAGTTCCTGGAGGACACCAGGTCATGCATACACAATATTCATCGGCAAAATATAGTTCACGACCAGATGGCTCAACCGGTTCTTGGGTTGTTGGTGCTTCTGTCCGTACTGCTTCTGTTGGTTCCACTGGTTCAGCTTTCGAGCTCCCTTCTACTTTTTCCGATTTTGGACCAGCTTTCAAGCTTCCTTCTCCTTTTTCCGGTTTTGGACTAACACTCTGCGATGAATTATTTGAATCAGATATTTTTTTATCAATATGCTTATTGATTTTTTTCGTTGTCCTTAGATCAGATTTAATCACATCTTTAACAAACTTTCCATGATGTTTCACGTTCTTGCCCATCGTATCTGTGTTTTTCGTGGTCTTTCCTAATTTGTTGGTAACAGCTTCTTTGTTAACAGTTTTAACTTTGACAACATTAGTTTTTTCCGATTTCTTTACTGATTTAGTTTCTTTCTGTACAACATATGGTGTATCATTTATATTACCGGCAAATGGACCATTATTTGTATTGACGATAGAGGGACCATTATGTCTATTGCCGACATATGGACCTTTATTTGTAATTCCGACAGATGGATGTTTATTTGTAATGCCAACATATGGACCATTATTTTTATTGCCAACAGATGGACCTTTATTTGTAATGCCGACAGATGGACTATTGTCTATATTGCCGACAGATGGACTATTGTCTATATTGCCAGCAGGTGGTCCATCAACTAAAGCATCTACAATTAACTGTTCAATTGATCCGACAAGGTCTTTATTTTTCCTCATAAGAGAATCAATAGGATCAGCAGATATACCGGATAATGGTACTGTCTTGGCAATGTTCGTGTTCAGTTTCACAATGTCTGACTTTGCTATTTTCATGTTTGGTTTCAAAACGTTTGAAAATGGAGCAGCTTCAACGATTTTCATTTTCTGTGGAATAAATGGTCGTGTGGCTGGTAGCGGAAACTCCCTATTAGCATTTGCATATGAGAATCTATGTCTTATACCCGTTTTAAGTCCTGAATTCAATGGTTTGGATTCAACTAGTAAATTTGGATTTCGGTAAGAGAAAATATGTTTTCTAGTACGGGAACCAGACATTTGTCCCTGTCCATCGTTGTACTGTTGAAGTATTGATTGATGTCCATTTGTGTGACGGTGTGAACCTGTCAAAGATACAAAATTAAAGGTATCATTTGTGTGAAAGTGTGAGCATGTCAAAGATACAAAATTAAAGGTATCATTTGTGTGATTGTGTGAGCATGTCAAATATACGAAATTAAAGGTATCATTTGTGTGAAAGTGTGAGCATGTCAAAGATACGAAATTAAAGGTATCATTTGTGTGAAAGTGTGAGCATGTCAAAGATACGAAATTAAAGGTATCATTTGTGTGAAAGTGTGAGCATGACAAAGATACGAAATTAAAGGTATCATTTGTGTGAAAGTGTGAGCATGTCAAAGATACGAAATTAAAAGTATAATTTGTGTGAAAGTGTGAGCATGTCAAAGATACGAAATTAAAAGTATCATTTGAATTGCTATCTGTTTATGGGTTAGTAAATAAGATAGTCAATGTGACTGTGGATTAATTGGCAACTGTAATGACGGCAACCAAACAACCAATTAAAGCAAAAATGTCATTGGTGGATAAGTATGACATATTATACTGTTAGTATAATAGTCCCAGATTTGCATGAGTTTGTATAATTGCTACTGTAGAATAATAAATAGGCGATTTTTTTCATAAAAAATTCAGCCTTGTTACACGCGGCAAAAATTGAGAAAAGGACGAACATAATTGTTGGAGTCCAAACTAAGAGGATGTTAAAAAATTATTTTATCACTTTACCTTATAAAGCATGTTCTTATTTATTGGGAATTGAGAACTAAGATATTGACGTTTAATAAATTACAAAAAGTAATCTCCTTCACATTGCTTTTTTTCAATCTAACGTTTGATTTGACATCTCTTTTTTTCTTTTTCTTTTTTTTTAACAAACTTCAGATATTTTATTGCACTAATTTGAAATCTCTAAAACAAATGTCATTTGATAATAATTCCATTTTTGTATTCTCGTATAATTTAACTTCCGGTTTTAATCATTATTGATGTTCTTTATTTTATTTGCCATTCAATCAATGCAGCTGCTATTGTAGTAATCCAAAGAACATGTAAAACATATAAATATGACATCTATAATGACCACTTATCAATTAAGAACAAACATATTATTGTTTACATGTTGTGTATTGCTGTTCGGTGACAAGGTAATCATTGTTTGACAATGAGAAATATTGACATGTTACAATTACCATTAGTGACTAATGAACTATTAAATGTGGAAGAAATGCCTTTTGACAAATAAAAAGCTCCTAAAATCAAAACTCACTAAGAAATCGCAGAAATTATAAAAAATAAAAAACTATACAGTGCATTATTAAATAGAATTAATGTAGTATTAAAAGTTTCTTATTTTAATTTGCAATTCAGATTGTATATATTTTGATAATAATTGAATATATTTGGGATAAGTTGTATTTGTACGTACGACAATAAAAACCCAGAAAACTAATACAGTATTTTAGTAATTTTTCGTGAAGAAAATAACTAAATAAGAAGATACCTTTTTTGTTTTGTTGATTTTCATTACTAACTTTACTAAATTTTCTTCGAAGTTTCGAGGTCCAACAGCTTATTATTATTTTTTTTTTCTTTTTTTCAATTTTTTCAATTTTTACCTTTTGTATAATTGTAATCAAGCGACACATTCGCTTTGTACAAGAATGACAAAATAATTTCTTGCTTTTCTGTTGCAGAAAGTGCAGCCAATATTGTTTTGATAAAAAATATGAAGATGTGGTATGATTGCCAATGAGACAACTTTCCACGATAGACTAAATGACGTTGAAGTTAGTAACTTTAAGTCACTATACGGCCTTCAAAAATGAAGAAAACCCATACCGTATAGCAAAATTTTTTTTATTATAACTTACATATATAAATAGGAAAAATAGGGAAAAGATAGCAAGGGACCATCAAACACCATCAGTCGCAAAAGACAGACAAACCCATAGAGAAAAAACGACGATAGGTCAATAAAAACTTACACAGAAGATTTAAGATTGTGTCACACCCCACCAAAACCAGGGTTGAACTGAAGTGCTAGAGAATTGTAAATAGTTCCTAATCCACTGGTGACACCCATCCGTTTAAACACGTTTGTGATTTATGTCCGTTGATAAGGCATCGCAAAATATCAGATTGTTAAACCCTCAGATATAACAAAAGTCATTACACATCATTTCAGGTAAATTGACCGAATGTGAAAGTTTGGAATGAATACATGATTTTTTAAACAAAGGATTGACCAGACCTTATCTGGTAGAAACAACACAGACACTGAAAAATTAAATAGCACAAAATAGTAAGCAGCATTGAAAACAAAAGCAAACAAAAGCAGAACAAACCCGTTTGGAATAAAACAAGAGGTGTACTCAGGTATATTGTAAGAATATAAACATGAATAATATTAACGGTACCAATTTTACGGCACGAGATGCGCATTTCGACAATTATTGTCTCCTCCTCGAGGCCAAAATATTATAAATCCAAAACTTATTCAGAAATTGAAAAGCTTATTAAACAAAAATAGGAGGAAAAGTATAGCAGAAGATGGGCAAGGAATCAGAGCTATGAATGACGAAGATATATTCCGTAATTTAAAATAATCTCCAAAATTTTGTAAAACCAAATTTCAAGAACACTTTATCCGTATTTCCATGCCAGTACCGAAGTACTGGCTACTGAAGTTTGTATTTCATTACTATTTATGCCCGTAGAATATCGATATTGGTATAAATATAAACCCGTTACAAAACTGAGTCATAATACTTGGGAAATTGATAACAAATATTTAAAAAAGTATACGAAAATTATATTATAAACTGTCTATAAGTAATTTTTGATGCATTGCATCCAACAATCTATTGTTATGTAATAACATACACGTCATATATCGGACATGAATGGTGTCATGTCGAATAATTAATATGTCATATATGTGTGTTTTACTTATTTGTTTTGATTCCTGAATGAAACACAGATAACAAAAAAAAAAACATCTAGAGGGTAACGTACAACGTAAGAATCTTCATTCATTTATTGATTCATTAATTTATTGTACAAAACCGATAAAGATTAGTAGTTTGTTTTAAATTAGGTCTTTTGTTTTCTCGTTTGAATTGTTTCACATTTTTCATGGAGGGGCCTGTTATAGCCGACTATCTTTTATGCGTTTTTCACATTGTTGAAGGCCGTGCGGTGGCCTATATTAGCTTACTTTGACCATGGAAGTATTATATTGACATTTTACTTTCATGCTTTGACTTAATTCTAACTCTGGTAGATATCTGTCCCGTTGGCAATCATATCACATGTCCTCATTTTCATAGTGATAAACGCAAAAACAAGTTACAATGATGGAATGTGGCAAGGATGTCGGCTGCTGACTGATATTTATCATGGGATTTTCTTTTAGAGACAGCAGTTTTCAAAAAGACACGATAGCGGCCAGATGTACATGCATTAAGCTTTTGATACCCGCGCGTTATATACTGATAACAAAAGTTTAGCAAGAAATATTTATAATTGTATAATTTTTAAATAAACTACACTTCAAACATGACAATAGATGAATTATTGTAACACAGAAAATAAACCATAAGATGCAACCTTTTCTCGACAGAAAAAATATCAAAATGTTATTTCCGCAACTCTGAATAATTTTGATTCTATTTAGTTTTTGAATTAAAATATATGTTGCTAAACTTTTTTACCTCAGTATATATATATATTATATCGATTACACACAAGCCTTTATTTTAGACTAACTTTGAAAATAAATACCATGAAAACTATTGTAGTATAATTTGAGATATTGAACAGATAAGTGAAACATCTAAATAATATTTTTTATTATTATTATGAGTAGTAGAAGTATTAAAATATTAGTTTTCATAACCTGAGACTACTATATTACACATTATAGTAGTTGAAGTTTTAACTTATCTTTATAATTTATTGTGAAAATTTCAATAGAAATTATTTCCTTTAAACTTAAAAATGATAAATATATATATATATATAACACGGGTAATAGTTAATAAATAGACCAATTACCTTGAACTGAATTAAAAATCACAAGAATGGAAAGAATAACGTGCACAACCAATTCCATAGTTCGTCAAACAACCCTCAGTGCTGGCTATAAGTTATATATACTATAAATTCCAGGACTGACGTGCCGAATGTCCACTATCAGAATGCGTAAATTGGTCACTAATTAATTGTTGATATAGGTAGTGCATTGTTTTATGGTACACATTAATCACTGTATTAATTTCCGACATATATTCACCTGGGTAATCACCTGGGTAACATTCCCACACTTCACATCCTTTGATGTCACGGGAACACACGTTAACGTAGATAGGTAATGTTGATGTATTGGGTCCGTCATTACTGTTTAGTAATAAAATGATTAAGGGATGATACCTCAATCTAATACCTATGAACATGAAATTGTTGTTAATTTGGAATCTGTTACCATTATCTAGGTCTCGCAGACATTCTGTAGACTTTTTCACGCATTATTAAATAGTCTGGGCTGTTTTTATTCTTTTGTAAACTGTTCTCCCCTGTTTAATGTATCTAACGAATTTTTCATTAAGTTATATCAGATTCAACAAGGATTTGTATAGGCACACGGAAATAATTTAGCAAAATCAAAAGGTAATGTCCACATCATCATCAGCAGCAGCAGCAATAGAAGCAAATAGGAGTAATACACGTAGTTGTATTCAAATTGCATGTTATAAATGCAATTAACGATATTTCTGTATGTATAACATCTTGTCATATATCAAACTTTATTTTCATCATTATGTTTCGGGTTGATCTTTTACACGGCCACCAATCCAACTAAGTCATACACAAATAATATGAAAACAAGTGCGTTAATCCGACTTCCGAGTATGCAGTAGAAGTAATAAACAATCAAGACTTGCTATACATTCACAAGGTAAGTCACCAATTTATATCATAAGCTTTATATTTTTCAAAAAACCGAGAATGTCATTCGACCCTTTATTTTGTTTTCCTTCGTGTGTTATCACAACTTTGTTGTACATTGAGTAGTATTTTTACTACAGCTTTTCTCCCGGTGAATAACGATACAATCTGCACGAAATTCTTACCGACATCTTATGTTATTTGTTAATAAGACACGTTATGCATGAGTACTGGTACATTTATTGATCGGTGTGATATATAGATTAATTCTAGAAAGCAAAATACTTTATATTTGTACTAATTATCAAATTATCGCAACAAAATTAAGAATGTATGGTTAAGAAGGACCATATATGACTTAAAAGTAACGAGTATGAGTAAGTGAGATATATTTTAGTAACCAACATGATGATGTTCTTTTACACAATGTCAATGTTAATTATGAATAAATTCATCTTTAGGTACCGTCCTTCCTTTAGGGGATATATATCTAACAGTAATAATTAGCCAGTAAGCATGAAGGTTTAAATTCAACCCTGTTAAGGCGGATGCGCTCGACGCCTATCTTAGTTGACTGGGATTGCCAGTTTTCTTACCGAAGACCGGGGTGTCTACTGGAAGCCTTCAACAATAAAAGAAAACTAATAGTCGAAAACTGAGCTAGCAAAACAATCCATCTAATGAAACACGCAGATCAAAATTATTTGCCTGGAAATGCAAATAATTATTGTACGCATCTATTTGCTATTTATCGTTTTAAACAAGTTAGCAACCTGCATACCATATATAAATACAACTTTTAACAATCTAACAATGTTTATAAAAATAAGAATACTCGCTCGGAATAGTAAATAACCTCTCAACCAGAACCTTATATAAAGAAATGGATGTCTTTGATGAAACGTTAACAAAATGAGACAGCAAACAAACGATAAAAATAATCAAATAACCAACATTGGACAACAAACACACAGTTTCAGCTCTCTATAATTATAAAAAAAGGTTGAATACGAATGTGTTAAAATAGAATTCTAGATTAAAACGGAATGAGGCAAAATGCAAAGCGAAAACTAGTGACGGATCTAAAAAAAAAAGGGGGGGGGGGGTGGTCGATGATTGAAATCGCCTTTTTCTTTGACGACCAATTCATCAATATTGTATCTGTAATAGTGCGAAAAGAAAATCAATCTGTATTTTTTGCAAAAATGTCAAATTATTGTCACTTTATAAAGGGGGATTCCGTTTGTCCGATCAAAACTATTTGCCTGGAAATGCTTTTCCCATTTGGAACCTGTAAAGACAAGCAAATAAATTTAGAGGAGAGCTTTTTCAGCAAGCATTACAAATATAAAGATGTTTTTTTTTATTAGAAAGCTGGATTATTGAGATGTGTAACTACATTATACTAAGAGCAATTTTATGATCTAAATTTTTCGTAGTGTGTTCTTACGTTACCATCAACTCATACTTGGTACGTTTTAATCATATGTGATACCTTCAAATCATATCCTCCTAGTTTTATATCGTTAAACGATAATAAAGACATATATACACATCTAGCAACGTATAATTGATTTATATATCACACCGATCAATAAATGTACCAGTACTCATGCATAACGTGTCTTATTAACAAATAACATAAGATGTCGGTAAGAATTTCGTGCAGATTGTATCGTTATTCACCGGGAGAAAAGCTGTAGTAAAAATACTACTCAATGTACAACAAAGTTGTGATAACACATGAAGGAAAACAAAATAAAGGGTCGTTTTTTGAAAAATATAAAGCTTATGATATAAATAGGTGACTTACCTTGTGAATGTATAGCAAGTCTTGATTGTTTATTACTTCTACTGCATACTCGGAAGTCGGATTAACGCACTTGTTTTCATATTATTTGTGTATGACTTAGTTGGATTGGTGGCCGTGTTTTAGTAGATTGTAATCCTCTTGAATTGAAGCGTCAAACAAACAACAGTGTTTAGTGTAGGCATACAAACAAACAACATGTTTAGTGTAGGCATACAAACAAACAATATATTTAGTGTAGGCATACAAACAAACAACAAACATGTTTAGTGTAGACATACAAACAAACAACATGTTTAGTGTAGGCATACAAACAAACAACAAACATGTTTAGTATAGGCATACAAATAAACAACAAACATGTTTAGTATAGGCATACAAAAAAACAACATGTTTAGTGTAGGCATACAAACAAACAACATGTTTAGTGTAGACATACAAACAAACAACATGTTTAGTGTAGGCATAAAGAATATGTAGAGTTGTAAAAATGGTTAGGACCAATTTCCCCTGTATTTATTTCACTCACGGGGCTAAAATCTAAACGTTGTCTTATCCTTCTGAAAATTGAATATCGAAAAGGCTATAGCATCCTATAGGAAATATATTGAATACTGGACATACCTCTTTAATTTTTACAACCAGGCAGGAAAAAATAGGAAAGACGTGAGGGAGGGATCACTAAAATCGGATGTCGTTTGGTTAATCAAAATGTCGTTTCTTTATCATAAACTAAACAAATCTCTTTAAATTATATAAAAAATCGAAAATATTTGATGTAGTAACACGAAAAGGAAATACTCTCATATTTATTTTATTTATACACTGAAAACATATCTCTACATGCAAATATTTTTTCTCTTTTTCGATAAATACATTCTTAAGTATACGGTACTTCATTAATCTTTTATATTTTAATATTCAGACAAGTTTCTGCTAAAAACACAAGGGGTTTCACCCGCAATGGTTTAGAAATAATATATGGTGTATTGGCAAGGTGTGTTCCAACAGGGAGTTAAAACACACACCAAAAGGTTTTATCGTAATTGTTAACATCCAAAGTGAATTTTCCTATAAAACCAAGTGATGTCCTGAATCAGATCACCACAATCCAGTACGCATAGTGTAATGTGCAAACAATTCGATATCTTATTTCCTTAAGGTGGTACATAACATTACAGGGAGATAACTCTGTCAAAATCAGCTGAACGTTTTAATCACGTTCTATTTGTTAAGGAAATATTAAGCTTCTCAATGATCAAAATTAGTGTTTGTCAAACTGCTATATATCCAATGAAATTTTTCAGATAAAGTGTGGTTCAAGTTTTTTGAAATTTTTATATTTTTGTCAAAGGGTAAAAGTAAATATTTTGTCAAAATTTTATGAAAATTAAACGAGCCAAATTAATTTTAGTCAAGGTGTTAGGTACCACCTTAAATGAATTTACTCTTGAAATAAATTCCTTAGACATAATGACCTAATTCTAACACCAGGGTCCTGAGACAGACATTTTCATTCCAAAAGTTAGAACAGCTTTGCGCGGAATTTTTAATCTATGATACACCGAAATAATGATTAATATGAAGTTGAGATTACTGTTATAGTAATCTGGATATGAAGTATGTCTTTAATTCTGCCTCGCTTTGTTATAGCAATTGAGGAAAGTAGTACGTTTTACATGGGCGGGCTTTTTTTTTTCTTCAACGTCTTATAATGTTATGTAAGATCCACTTCTAGTGCATAATAGTTATCAAGTGAAATCTTTTTTTAACTATTGTCAAGAAGTTATAATTGCACTTTTTAAGATATCCTTACCATATTATTATCTTCAAGAAAACAAAAGATCCCTTGTAGAATAGTCACGTACGCGGATGTTTTTTGGGAAAACTTCCTTCTAAATACTTCACCAATAAGCTTTTACAATGAAAGAAAGGACTTTTGTTGGTTTAATTCACATTGTTTTTTAAACCTAAATCCACTTTCATACTTTTAACTAGTCAAAATACATTTTCACAGTCTGTGGCAAATTTACATGAATTATAAAAAAAGATTAGCTATGGGGGAAAGTTAACAATGTATTCACCTAAACTTTTATATAATCAAAAAGTATTAACAAAAATACCAAATTCCAAGATAAATTAAAAAAGGGGGAGTCCATAAAAACTGACAAAATCAAACGTTATCAACCAATGGAACGAAAACAAATTAACTGTCATTTTCCTGACTTTGTACAGGCGTTTTCAGAAGAAAATGGTGGGTCGAACATCACATGTATACTATCGATGTTCTTTTAAGAATTCATGTTTAGCTTATCTCATGGAACTAATGTTAACTTTTATTGGATGAAATGTATTGAATCTATTCTTAATGAAACTGGTTTATCTAATGTACATGTATGGTTAATTCAAACTTGTATTAATGAAATTTAGTTAAAGACTGCTGTTAGAACATCTCTCCAAG